TAATGGCCTCAATCTTGGAAGGGGTGGGGTGGATTCCTGTGGAATCCATGAGAAACGCCAGGAACTCGACAGATGGCACGCCCAGCTGGCACTTAGATCGTTTCAAGTGCAAGCCGGCATCTCGGAAACGAGAAAGAACCGCCCTAAGGGTCCTGACGAGTCCTGATTGGTCCGGAGAGGCAATTAGGACATCGTCAAAATAGGGCACTACACCCGGGATGCCATGGAGCACCCGCTCCATGAGCCCCTGAAAGATGCCGGGAGCCATGCTGACCCCGAATTGCAAGCGGCGGCATTTGAAAGCCCCGTGGTGGGTCACAATAGTTTGGGTTGTGGCGGAGGCCTCGTCAACCGGCAACTGTTGGTATGCTTGGGCCAGGTCCAATTTTGCAAAAATCTTGCCCTGGCCCAAGGAGTGCAGAACGTGCTGCACAACTGGCACAGGATAGGGATGCGCCTGCAGAGCCTTGTTGAGGGTTGCCTTATAGTCCGCGCAGACCCTCAGGGACCCGTCGGACTTCAAAGGCAACACTATGGGGGTCTCCCAAGGGGCGTGATCAACGGGTTCCAGGATGCCCTGGGAGATCAGTTTATCGATCTCTGCGTCCACACGAGCCCACAGGGCAAAAGGAACCCACCGAGCCTTCAGGCGGATGGGCGCCACCATAGGATCCAAATTAAGGGAGATGGGGTTGCCTTTGTAGCAACCCAGGGCATCAGAGAAGACATCATTGAACTCTGACAGGAGGGAATCAAGGGAAGAGGCTAGGTGGAGAGAATTGATGCCGGCAATGCTAAGGCCAAAAGCCCCGAACCAAGAGGGAAGCCAGGGGGCTTTGAACAACAACAAGGAGCAAGGAACCCTGGAACCTCCCAAACCAGACAGGGAAATTCCTGCAACCCAGGATGGGGATAGGGTTGACCTGGTAGTCCCGCAGGGGCTGACTAGGCATGATGTCTGGAAGCAATGCTCGCAAAGTGTCCCAGGACATAATCGTGCGGGTTGAGCCCATGTCCAGTTTCATCTGGTAGGGGCGGCCGGCAAGTAAGACGCGAAGGTGCATCTTACCTTGGCCGCCATAGGAGGAGGCAGCGGAGTCGGGCAGCCAGTTGGGCACAGGAGCCTCGGGATCAGAGACCGCATAGCACCCAAGGCGGGTGGCAGAAGGCCTGGGAGGCTGAGATCTGAAGGCAGCATGAGGAGCAGAGGAAGCAGACGGCAGGGGCCTCTGGTTGCAAGTGTCCCCCGGAGCAGAGCGGCAAACGGCTGCGATGTGACCCTTCTTACCGCACTTGCGGCAGAGAGCCGTTCTGAAACGGCAGGAAGCCCTGGAATGGCAGCCGCCACAGCTGAGGCACACACCGCCATCCTGAGAGGGCAGAGACCAGAGGTGGTCAACAGAGGAAGCAGCGTCGGCATAGGGGTTGTTGACCATCATTTGGCAATGGACAGCAGAGTGAGGCAGCGCTGTCATTGCCACCGGACGGAATCGCCGGACATCAGGGGTGGACTGGCCAGCCATCTCATATGCATGGGCTTCGTCCACCATGATTTTCATGGACAGTTCACCGCGGGACAAAATGCGGCGATGTAAATTAATGTCAAGCAGCCTGTAAATGAATTGCTCCAAGAGGGAATCTTCAAGGTCAGCGAACTCGCAATTTATTGCGGCAGCCCTCAGCTCAGCCACGTACTGGCTGAACATTTGTCCGTCACGTTGAATGCAGCGCCTGAAGAACTGCTGGTGCGAATACTTAGTTGGCGTCGGCTCATAGTGGATCTTGAGTCTAGCCATGAGGAGGTCGAGAGGCATCGTGTGCACCTGGGTCGGTGCGGAAAGAGCCCTGGCGGTGGCAAACATTTCTGGGCCGCAGTAATGTAGGAAGGTGCCCCGTCGTCTCCCCTCAGGGAGATTGGAGAGGTCATGAGCCTGGAGGAAAATCTCGAACCTCTAGAGAAATGTGTCCCAGGATTCAGCCTCTGGCCGAAAAGCGGTGAAAACCAAAGAAGGAGCCAAGGCTGGGACGATAATGGGGTCTGTGTCGCTCATCTTTGTCACCAGTTTTAAGAACGAGGCGCTGAGGTAAACGGAACAGCTTTATTTAACGTAGAACAGGCAACAGAGAACTCAGAACACGAACGAAAAGAAGCCCGCCTGACAGTTATTTATATTTGACAGCTGTCAGGCGGGTAGCCAATTGGTGGCTGGCATTTTTCCTGCCGGCCGGCCGGCGAGCCAAAGCTAATCAGGAGCCTGAGACTCTGGCCACGCCTGCCGGCTGTGTCGGAAGGACGCAACAGTTGAACATTCAATTGTTATCCACTTTAATCCGTGTGCCGTACTGATTTGCTATTCTAGGCTGCTAAGGCTTTAAATGGAAGGTTACAATGAAAAAATTCAAGATCCCCAAACTATAAAAAAAGCAAATGAAAGATCAAGACTTTAAAGAAAGTAGCTAAATGGAAATTTATTATCAATGAAGCAGTGTACAGAATTAGAATTTAGGATAAAGCAGCTGGTGGCATTGTCATATTGTCTATTAGTTTATTTGATTTTTTTAAAAAATGTGCTGGGGAGTGTTAAAATTATTTGTAGAGGGTTCCAAAGCATGGGAAGAACATTGTGCATTTTTATATTTTATTTAATCCTATATGGTAGAAGAGGGAAGGATTTGGGATTGATCAAAAGCTTTTCATTTCTAAAAGCAGCTAGAAGCTACCTCTGACTCATTATTTTGGTTGCTTCCAAAATGTTGAGAGAGCAAAGCCATTTATTTAATTTGTCACTCATACAAGATAACAGGAATAAGAATAAACACAAATAAGAACACAGGAAATGGGTACAAATAAATGATAAATATTTTTTGTCTTCCGTTTTGCACATGATCTTAAATGAACATGGCTTTCTTAGCTTTTCTCTGTGCATTGGGATGCAGTGAAGTTCTGGATATTTTTGAGTTTTGTCACTCATCTGAAAAAGCATTTACTTCTTGAAGTTACTTTGCCTTTGTTTCTTCCACTTGCCTTCCATCCTATCAGCCTGGTTGGGTACTAGCAACTTATGCTCAGTTAAGCGCTTGGACACCGATACAAATTGTGTGCACAGGACTCACCGACTTAATAGTTTGCCTAAACCTCATTTTCTGGAGACAGGAAGCTACAATGCCGTTTGTGGTTCAGTGCATGGGGGGCAGAAAATAGCTGCCAGCTTAAGGGCTCATTATTGCAAGGATGGGTAGAATAGACTAGAATAACAGAATTGGAAGGGACCTTGGAGGTCTTCTAGTCTAACCCCCTGCTTGGCAGGAAACCCTGCCTAAGTATCTCGGGTATCTCGAGAGTGCTGTAACTTTGTCAGTTAGGAAAGGAAAAGTCTTTTTACTTTTTAATCAGTCGCGCTTTGAGGACAGGGCAGAAACGGTGAGCTACTGCGGCGAATGTGCCGCTGCGAATTCGAAGCCACGCTCATCCCGACTCCGGAAGCAGGAAGCCCGGAGTGCCGCGGCTGCACTCGCTCGGAGGGGCCTCTCGGGTCCATGTTGAATCCAGGCGAGACAACCCGCCCGGGCGGTTCATGGGGTGAGGAGGCGTTTGCGCTGTCGACGAGCGGAAGAGACACCGCCAGGCTTGGACTGAGGGTGTCGCTGGGGTGGGGAGTGATACTTGCAGATTGCGTCTCCTGGGAGGGGGGGGGGATCCTGCTGGAGGGAATAGGTGGGTGGTCCGCGCCGAGGGGGGGGGGCGAGAATCAAGTCGCCGGACCAGCGCGAGGCCAGGAGGGTGGCGGTGGGCGTGTTTGAAAGGGCAACTCGAGTGGCTTTTGGGGGACTCCTGGCTGCTTGCCTTGTGGCCAAATGAATGATAGGGTAGCCTGCAAGCCCCGCATACGCGCTTACTGGGAATGAGCCCCATTTGAGGTTATAGGGGTTGACTTCCCAGCAGACACGCTTCAAGATTGCTCTTTGTTACGATAGAAAGCAAAAGGGGGCCAGGTGGGATGGAGAAACACAAGCCCTTTTTTTATCATTGACTGGTAGGGTGACTGTGTAAGTTCTCAGAAAGGATGGCCGTAAATTCATGTGAGAGGCTTCTGACATGGTGTATTCCATGCTAGAAATTCGAAACGTGCTTTGAAAGATGAGGATGATTTTGTTTTTGAACAGTGTCATGCAATTGGAGAAAGTCCTAAACCATTAGGTAGCTAGTGGAAATTATGCAGTTGAATTTTACAAGGCTTTCCCTTTTATGTGATGTTTCTTAGCACTAGCATGGATGGATTGACAGACAGGTGCATAGATATTTTTTAAAAAATAAAGTACTTTAATATGTACCAAAATTAAATTCTTGATCCTGATGTTAACTTATTTAAGTTAGTGCATTCAGATAGTACAGTACGACTGTATGTTCCAGGACTCCAGCAAAGAACATTATGGTAACATGGATTTATTGTAATCTATGGATTATACCTCAGTATAATTCTGCTCTATAAAGTTTTGCATTACTGTTGGACCTTTTGACAGTGGCTTGTAATATATGAAATAACACTGAATAGCTTGTTGACATTTTGAACTTATTTAACACAATCAAAAACTCTTATGAGCATCAATAGCAGCTGACATTAAAAAAAATCTGGCAGTGAGAACCCTTTTGCCTAATTTTGACAAGGGGTCAGTGTAGTCCAGCAGTGTGTGTATGTGTGTGTGTGTATACACCTATTCTCTACTATTTTCCACAAGGAGCAGTCAAGTACCTGAGTTTTATTTTGAAATAACCAGACAATGTAATATTAAATGCTCTAAGTATGTCTTCTAAGATCTATATCTGTCAGAGGGAGTTGTTATCTAAAGCATTTCAGTTCTCACTGCTGAATTTCAGGAACAGTAGACATGTATGTGAATGATTTTGGCTGGTTTTAGGACATATGTGAGTGATCTGGAATTGCAAGATAGCAATTCAACAAATAGTGGATAGAGTCTAAAACCGCATGCATTATAGCAGGGCTGAATCACCCACAAACAACCTGAGAGATGCCTGCCATCCCCAGCACTCTGTTTGCATCCCTGGGACACCTGACTGTCTTGACACTGAAATCCAGCCGTGGAGTTTTCATTCATCTTTGGGTTTTAAGTGTGGAAATAGGAGCACAATCCTCAGGGAGGCAAAGCATTCCTATGCCCTCTGTGGGGCCTGATGATAACTCAGGATAACTCAATTGTATCTCTAGTCCAAAATAAATTGTCTCCTCCTGCTTCATAGTCTTTTCATTTTTCTATTCCAGCACTTGCTGGAATAAAGTGAAGCTCATTTTTTTTTCTTTTGTCATTTTTCAGTGTTTTAAGTTAGCAACATGGTTGCAACAAGTAATTTTATTTTATTAAATTTATCTCCCGTCTTTCATTCAAGAGCTTAAGATATACATTATAGCCTCTCCTATTATCCCCACAACAACCACTCATTGTGCATTTTTCAGAAATGATTGCTGTTAACGGTGTTTCAAAAACCATTTTGTTTCATTAGACATTTGTATACGAAAGGAGGTTAGAGGACTAACATCATGCCAGGAGGTNGAATGACAAATGGCCACAAGCCACTTTTTTCGGAGACGTAACTTTGCACAGTCACTAAACGAAGTTACCTGTACTGCAGTTTGAAATCTTCACAAGATGAAATGTCTGTAGATCTGATTAGATCCATGGTTCTCAGATTTTAGGGTATAATGATGTTAATTTGTACAATTGTTCTTTTTTGTGTTAATAAAACTAATGATTTCATTCGTGTTAGGATTGGATCAGAAATAAAAAAATATTACTTATTTTTATTGGTGGCTTGTTAATATCAGAGATTATCTCAAAAGTTGCAAAACAACAGTGGGTTTCATAGGTAAAATGAGGAGCAAAAGCAAAGTTGTGTTTTGATACACAATGTGCTCCTGCCATTGAAGCTTGCAGTCAATTTGCCAGGACAAATCTGGGTGGTAAGCCAAAGTGAGCTTTTGGCAGTGATCCCACTTTGCTTGCTGACCCCACTGATCAGGTTTGAAGATAAACAAAGCAATAAACCAAGTGACCCTCTTTCCATAATGATCCCCAGGGACCCCTGACCCCACAGTTCGAGAATCTCTCGGATAAAATTTACATCAATAGTCATTTGTGCTATCATGCTTATTGTGTGGGACTAATGTTAGATGGAATTAGTAATACTAATAATCTTATTCTTCTTTTCTCTTGCAGGGATTGGTTACCCTGGGCGTAGTTTTACTAACAGCATACTTCATGATCCAGCCATATACGCTTTCACCATCTGAAAACACACTCACCAAAAACCATCCATTGGGTTCCCTTTTTCATCATATCCGGTTGCTGCCATTACCCATTACCAAGAAATATATGCTGGAGAGTAAGGAAATTATCTAAGCATTTATTTCATCATTAAATTAAAACAGCTGGGTGCTTAACGTATGAGCAATGCAGATGACATAAATAAAAATTGCTATTCAGTTCTTTCTTTATAAAATAACACTGCTTTCTGCTTTTTGTAAAGTAAGCATGTCTTGGTTCTACTCTTATTTTTATAACAAAAATTGCTCTAGTGACTGTATGGCAATCTATTAAGGTATTTTCCTTATGCTAAAACTATTTCCTGATTGATCTTAAAAGACTCATTTTGAAGATTTATACATTTAAGTGCATTGACTCATTGGTCAGTAACTAGATTAATTCAGTTCTGCATTTTTGAAGAATTTTTTGTATTTTGTATTTTACTGGTCTTGTATGCCGCCCACTCCCAAAGGACTTACAATAAACAAAGGAAGGGGATAAATAGACAGACAGACAAACAACAATTTAAAATACACAACATTCATAGTTACAGTGGGGCTGGCTATTACAACAGCCCCCCAGCCTGCTGGAGAAGCCAGATCTTAGTGGCTTTATGGAAGGCAGGGAGAGTAGTAAGGGTCCGGATCTCCATGGGGAGCTCGTTCCAGAGGGCTGGAGCTGCAACAGAGAAGGTCCTCCCCCGGGGAGTCACCAGCTGGCATTGGCTGGCAGATGGGATCCGGAGGAGGCCTAGTCTGATCGGTCTATAGGAGGTAATTGGCAGGAGGTGGTCTCTCAGGTACCCAGGTCCAATGCCATGTAGGGCTTTATAAGTAACGACTAGCACCTTGAAGTGAGTCCAGAGACTAATGGG